TGCGCTACGAACCCGGTGACCCAAGTTCGCACTCCCGCTCACGGCTAACAGTGACGGCGAATATCTAAACCGGTCCTGGGCCTCGCCTAGGCCAACTCAGCCTCAAATGAGTACCTGGGTGCGGTGTGTAAACGTCACCACTGGGAAGACAAAGGTGGTCGGGCGTGGTGCTGGCCACCCATCCCTTCGTGTGCCGTGCCGGCATTCATAGGTGCTCGCTAACAGCACTTGCCCCGACAGTCTGTTCAGGCTACACAGGGGATCTTTGTCTGTGTATGTTGACCTTCTTCCTCATCAGCAACTACCTCGTCAATACGCCGTGGAGGAAGGTCCCGAACGAGGATTGTAGACAAAAGTGTAAAGTATATTGCTACCTTCAAATGATGCATATGTATCAATGTTTCGTCCTGAAGTTTCACAACATATTTGTTTCTATCCCATCGGACATGGAGCCATGCCTGTTAACCCCTTATCAGTGCTGCCTACCTAATCGCAGACCAATTCAGACCTTATTGGTCACCCCGTGCCCTTATAAATCTCAACGTTCATGCTACAAAGTCCCATCACAAGGGAGAAAAACACAAAGAAATGTTTTTTTTGCCCGCATTGAAACGGCTGTACGCCGTGTGAACCTGAAAACTCAATTTCCCTGTACACAAGAACACGGGTGAGCCGTATGGGTTGACACGGTACGTGAAGCCTGCATCGATTTTCAACACCATTGCATTCACACAGGTCAACACAACCCTACGAATACAATGCTTAACCAACAATAATTATTAACACAGTCCGGAGTTCGCTAGTATTAAAACAATGCCATGAAATGATACACTCTCAGAAGGCCGTGTGGCGAATGGGATGTGTAAAAACAAGGTTTTATTGTCTATGTGGAGAGACACATGTGGGACGGAAGTGTTATCCGTAATTATATATTTTTGAATGTGGGTTAGATCGTGTAAATATGTATCGTTAAACCCGCTATCACCTGACACAGTTATATTGTAAGGTTTGTCGCGTAAACAAAACGTGCCAATTAGTCAGCACACCGGAGTGTTGGAGAGTAAACCCACAACATTTACAATTCGGGTGCGACGTTTCGCTGGTGGTTACAATAACCAGCTTCATCAGGCGATTGCTAGAATTGTGAAGCAGTCCTCCTGTTTCGGTCTTAAATAGAGTAAGGGTGATGTCATCACAGGTGCGAAGACCATAGGGGGATTAATGTAGTCATATAAGTTACAATAGATCGTGTTGTATGTAGAACTTATTTTGCATCGTATGTCGCCAACCGTATGTTAATCTGACAATATGAAATGCAGTGAAATGTTTGATGACATAATTGTGTGCAAGATTCACTGCCATTCAACTTACACAAGATACAAATATACTCTGCTCAATTGTTACGTAAATATTACAGCTTCCATCCTCAGGCAGGCAAACAAGCTAGTTTGATAAAACTATCTATTTAGTCTTGGCCGATCGACTGTTGTGATGTCTTGTGAGGATTATAATAAAGTGAGAGACTTACTACCCTTGTTGATTAACTGTGAACAACCCAACCAATAATAGGTACTCAGATTGACATGATCCAAACTGGTGCTTTTGCAGAATGCGTAAGACTGAAAGATTGTGTACGTGCAGTTCACATCGCCTTTGTGTATTGTTCAGTGTCTCACTTGTAAGAACGACATGGGTTACGCTCACACGAGTGCGTGTGTGGACTCCACGCGAACGTGAGCGCCGTTTCTCTCGGTGTCTCTCTCCCATCCAGCAATGGATGGGAGAGGATGGGACACCATGGATGGGGCTGACGATGAAGTGAACATGCGACCCGACACCCCGTGCGATGTCTTGAACCAAAAAAAACCGCTCGAGGCGGAGGAGGGGCACTGATGCCTAATCGAGAAAATGGTCTCGACACAACGCACGTCGCGCACGCACCCTGGGCAGAGGGAGGGTGGAGGGGGTAGAGGGTGGGGGTAGAGGGTGGGGGGGGTAGAGAGGGCGAGGTGGGGGGGTAGAGGGTGGAGGGGTTAGAGAGGGCGAGGTGGGGGGGTAGAGGGTGGGGGTAGAGAGGGCGAGGTGGGGGGTAGAGGGTGGGGGGGGGGTAGAGAGGGCGAGGTGGGGGGGTAGAGGGTGGGGGGTAGAGAGGGCGGGGTGGGGGGGGGTAGAGGGTGGAGGGGTTAGAGAGGGCGAGGTGGGGGGGTAGAGGGTGGGGGGTAGAGAGGGCGAAGTGGGGGGGTAGAGGGTGGAAGGTAGAGAGGGCGAGGTGGGGGGGGGGGTAGAGGGTGGGGGGTAGATAGGGCGAAGTGGGGGGGGGTAGAGGGTGGAAGGTAGAGAGGGCGAGGTGGGGGGGGGTAGAGAGGGCGAGGTGGGGGGGGGTAGAAGGTGGGGGTAAAGAGGGCGAGGTGGGGGGGTAGAGGGTGTGGGGGTAGAGAGGGCGAGGTGGGGGGTAGAGGGTGTGGGGTAGAGAGGGCGAGGTGGGGGGTAGAGGGTGGGGGGTAGAGAGGGCGAGGTGGGGGGGGGGGTAGAGGGTGGGGGGTAGAGAGGGCGAGGTGGGGGGGTAGAGGGTGGGGGGTAGAGAGGGCGATGTGGGGGGGTAGAGGGTGGGGGGGGTAGAGGGTGGGGGGGTAGAGGGTGGGGGGTAGAGAGGGCGAGGTGGGGGTTAGAGAGGGCGAGGTGGGGGGGTAGAAGGTGGGGGGTAGAGAGGGCGAGGTGGGGGGGGGGGTAGAGGGTGGGGGGTAGAGAGGGCGAGGTGGGGGGGTAGAGGGTGGGGGGTAGAGAGGGCGATGTGGGGGGGTAGAGGGTGGGGGGGTAGAGGGTGGGGGGTAGAGGGTGGGGGGTAGAGAGGGCGAGGTGGGGGTTAGAGAGGGCGAGGTGGGGGGGTAGAAGGTGGGGGGTAGAGAGGGCGAGGTGGGGGGTAGAGGGTGAGGGGTAGAGGGTGGGGGGGTAGAGAGGGCGAGGTGGGGGGGTAGAGGGTGGGGGGTAGAGAGGGCGAGGTGGGGGGGTAGAGGGTGAGGGGTAGAGGGTGGGGGGTAGAGAGGGCGAGGTGGGGGGGTAGAGGGTGAGGGGTAGAGGGTGGGGGGTAGAGAGGGCGAGGTGGGGGGGTAGAGGGTGGGGGGGGTAGAGAGGGCGAGGTGGGGGGGTAGAGGGTGGGGGGTAGAGAGGGCGAGGTGGGGGGGGTAGAGGGTGGGGGGGTAGAGAGGGCGAAGTGGGGGGTAGAGGTTTGGGGGATATAAGGCAAGGGGGGGGGGGGGGTAGAGAGGGGAAGGGGCGTAGAGGTTTGGGGGGTTAGAGGGTAAGGGGGTTAGAGAGGGCACAGGGGGATAGAGGGGGTTAGAGGGTGGGTGGGGATCGAGGTTGGGGGGGGTTAGAGGGTAGGGGGGGTTAGAGGGTGGGGGGGGGATCGAGGTTGGGGGGGGTTAGAGGGTGGGGGTTAGAGGGTAGGGGGGGGTTAGAGGGTGGGGGGGATAGAGGGTGGGGGGGGATAGAGGGTAGGGGGGGTTAGAGGGTAGGGGGGGGATCGAGGTTGGGGGGGGTTAGAGGGTGGGGGTTAGAGGGTAGGGGGGGGATCGAGGTTGGGGGGGATAGAGGGTGGGGGGGGGATAGAGGGTGGGGGGGGGTTAGAGGGTAGGGGGGGGATCGAGGGTGGGGGGGTGTTTGTGTCGCTCGCTGACGTCACACGCGGTATTTTTAGCGCCGCGTGACGTGCGCCGCCTCCCATTGGCTGCGCGGGTGGGACCCGCGCCCCGCTGCTCCAGCAGCAGCAGCAGTCGTGGCACCACCACGACGGCTCCACGGCGCATTCCTCTCAACCCCTCGTGTCAGTGGCTGCACACCTTATTACACACCAGTTCACACGTTACTGGTCACCCCGTGCCCCTATAAATGTCGACGTTCATCCTACAAAGTCGCATCACGAGGGAGAAACACAAACGTGGTCGTGTCCCTATTGAAACGGCTGTGCGCCGTACGGACCTGAAAACTAAAATGTTCCCTGAACAAGAACGCGGAGTAAACCGTCTGGGTTGACAGCTACGAGCACTGCGGCTCAAGCACAGACACAAGCCGCCATTCGCCACTAAGTTGCGGTGACGTCATCCCAGGGCTGGTGCCAGGCTAGGTGCACTTTTGAGGCCGTCTTCGCGTGAAGTGTTTTAAAAACTAATTTTCTTCAGAACTGCTTTGTGTGTGTTTAGTTTGTTGTCCTTCCGCCGCACATCCGATTAGCGCGCTTGGCTACGTTGGGTGCGAAATAAGTCGACATACAGTACGCACACGTGTGGGAGGCTCGCCTGCCCATACGTTGGACTTCTTTCGCACCCTACATAGCCAGGCGCGCTAATCGGAGCGGGGAAGGCGGGTTGACATGAGATGGCGGTGACGATGACGAAGGGGCAAGGCCGAACTCCACTGCGGTTTCCCCACCTCCTCCCACACACAGCGAGCGATAACCACGGCGATATTCCTCGGACTTGGCGAGGACATTGGCGGTCGACGCCGCCTCCTCGTCGACTTGTGTCGCGGTATCGAGCGCGCACCCCGCCCGCCCTCTCCCTGCCTCCCTCCCTCCCTGCCTCTCTCCCTGCCTCTCTCCCTGCCTCTCTCCCTGCCTCTCTCCCTGCCTCTCTCCCTGCCTCTCTCCCTGCCTCTCTCCCTGCCGCCCTCCCTCCCTGCCTCTCTCCCTGCCGCCACTTTGTTTGGGTTTCTGCGCTACAGGTCCCGGCCGCCGTCTTCTCTCTCTCGACTTCTTTGTGGCTCAGAGCCCCCCCGCCCCCTCAGCCCCGCCCCCTCTTTCACACCCCCCTCAGCCCCGCCCCCTCCTTCACACCCCCCTCAGCCCCGCCCCCTTGTTACCCCCCCTCCGCCGTCCGTGACGCACCGCCGCCGCGCTCTGATTGGCTGTCGCCGCCCCGCCTCGGACGTCACGGCCCCCCCCCCGACTTCCGGCGTGGGGCCGCCTATTTAAGCGGCGCCCCCGCAGTGGCGCTGACGTCAACGCGAGAGGCAGCGAGGAGACGGCGATCGCACTGCGGCTCCATCATCACCACCACCCACCCCACCACCACCCACACGGAGCGGCGGACCGAGAGGGAAGGGGCGGCTAACGGCGTGACACGGTCACAGCTGCGGAGAAGGAGACGGGTGGGCGAGAGGCGCCAGCTCGAGACGCGCGACTTGAGCGACGGAGGGGTGTGGTGGGGAGAGAGCCGCGAAGTTGGCGAAGCGTCCACGGCGAGGCGAGGAGGCCAGGAGGTGGCAGGGGGGCGACGCGGCGCGTGGTGGCGAAGCGCAGCGGCTGTCGTCGCCTTGGGTGGAACAAAGCGAGCGCAGCCGCCGCCGTCTCCTCTCCCTCCCGCCGCCTTCCTCCTGCTAGGGCCCGGGTCCCATGCGACTGCGAGCGAGCGGCGACGACGAAGACGACGTCGAGACGACGACGACGATGACGACGATGAAGCTGGAGATCGAGAGCGCGGTGTCGTTCCTGCGCGACCTGCTGCGGGGCGCCGGGGTGCGCGACGGGCAGCTGCAGACCTTTAGCCAGGCGCTGGGGGAGCTCCTCGCCGGTGAGTTTACCCCTCCCAGCCACCACCCCACACGGGGTGGGGGGGGGGGTGAAGAGATGACGAAGTAATAAACTACTACAGTAATAAAACACTACAGTAATAAACTACTACAGCCACGACGACGAATTAAAGTGACCTCGAGCGGCGTTGGTGACACGGGGACGCGCATTGAGAGCCGTGGAGGGGTCCCGCGCCGATGAAGCGCCTTGTATTGTAATGTATATTATATATTTATTATTATCGCTGCTACAGCTATGAACTGGGATTGGCACGCGTGTCCCGGGGCCAGGCCGCGTGTGTGGGGGGCGCGTCTCTTGGCTCTGCTGCCAAACAACGGAGGGGGGGCGGCGGCCGCGCTCTGCTGCGATGGCGATCGCGAGCCCCCCCCCCCCCCCCCCCCCCCCCCCCAAGGGGTTGTGAAGTAAAACATTCACTGCGCTGCAGATGATTGTAGCCCTCCCACCCCTCAACGCGTGTTTAAATATAAATTTGTTTAAGCGCAATTGTGTTAAAGGTTGCCCAGAGATTGGCGGTCAACTCTGCTGAGACGGCACGGGCTGCTGGGGCCACGGGGGGGGGGGGGGGCGATGTCGCCAAGGGCACGGGCCCCCTCCTTATACAGTCGCCCGATATTGGGGGGGAGGGGGGGAGAGTTCGTCAACACCACAGAGCCACACGGCGGTGTTGTACTGCACTTCGGTGGGCCCCAACCGGCTGGTGGAGGTGGCGGGCGAACTCTCTGCCAAGTGATTGACGCTTGGGGCTGATGGCGTCGTGTTCGTCTCGGCCGCCATCGCCACTTTGTTACTCGCAGCCCCGCCCCCCTCAGCCCCCACCCCCCTCAGCCCCCATCCCCGCCCCCCTCAGCCCCCGCCCGCCTCAGCCCCGCCCCCCTCAGCCCCCACCCCCGCCCCCCTCAGCCCCCGCCCCCCTCAGCCCCCACCCCGCGTGACGTCATGGGTTTAACCCGAGCCCCCTGCGGTTACACTTTAAGAACGCACTCCGTGACCGTGGTATATTTATATTATTATTACTACACAACAGCGCTTATAAAGATAGAGAGTTTATTACACGCAACCACACCACTTTCAGCGTATTTATATATATGTTTTGATTGCACACAACGCAGCTTTATATTTTTTATTACACAACACCGTTGTGTGTGCGTCTAGAATCGTGGCGTTGTGCTTTTGACCTTGCCGAGAGATGATCGCCGGCGGACTTGGTGGTGTCCGTGTGCGAGGCGGTTCATGACGACGCTTCGGCGTACGCGACTTGATTGTGACGGCAGCAGCATCGTCGCATGCCGATGAATTGTCGCTTGACTGCTAATCTGACATTTGTGAAATGGTTTGGCAGGTAGTGGTGGCGAACATTGAAAGCCATCCTTGCCGAGTCGTAGGTGTTGGGTTGGGGGGAGGTCTTTGAGACCTCGTGGGTGGATGGCAGTGTGGGTTTGGGGGGGGGGGCACAGAGCAGGTGCTTGGGTTTTCCCTCCCCATTGTTCGTGAGCGCGACCCCCCCCCCGGAGCTGTCCATTCACACCGCGGCTCCACCAGAGCCCCCAGCAGCAGCTGCTGCTGCTGCTGTGAACACCGCGGACACGTGGCCACAGCTCGCGTCCACACCTCGAACGGCCGCTTTGTTGTCGAAACACACGGGCGCCCATTAGATCCCGAGCGAGTTTTTTTGAGAGACTTTAAAAAAACCATGTGGCTCTACGTGTCCATTATCTGTGCGCCTTTCGCCCACATGTATCGCCTTCCCCATCTGTGGTGTACCCACTGAGGCTGTGGCAACGCATCCTATCCAGAGCAGCACCGGATTAGATTTGTAAAATATTTTCCATATGCTTGCGGTGGGGGGGGGGGCGGATTCAAGTTAATGGAGTCCAAGTTAACTTAATTTTGCTAGGAGTGTGATAATGTAGTGGGGACACTGACAATAGCCCCCTAGTCGGCATCCATAAATGAGTTTTTTATCAAATATTCACATGGTGCCTCAAGGTGAAGACTCATTACTTGGTGGCCTTTAATTTGTCCATCTTAGCGCGACGTCTAACAGTAATCTACCACTGCAGTGGAGGGTATTTTTTAATAGCTTTTATAACTTGACATTAGCATTTGTATCCCCCTTTTGTAGGGACGCAGAATGTGTTTTTTTTTACCTGATTATAAAATACAACCCCAGTGTAATGGGGTTGGTGGTGCTGTTTACCTTCGGGCAGCAGTAAGCAGGCTGGACTCTGGACGCACAAAACCTCTTGACCACACGACTGTTAATAAACGATGGGGGCCCTGAACAAACTCGCACTTTGTGACTTTTGACGGTAGCCCCCAAAAAACCCCCTCCAGGGCCAGCGAGGAAGCCAAAAGCTCCTCCCGCGTACTCCACATGGCGGGCCGAGGGTTTCTCGTGCACTGCGAGTTACAAAATGGCACCCAAAGCAGCTGTCTGTATGACGGTAGAGAAATCGAATCGCACCTTTTTTTGCCGTGATGTTATTTTTACAGATTGATTTGGTTTTAGTAATTTATGGGGGGAAAATGCTTTGTTAGGTCGTGCTCGGCAATAAATAAGGTGGCTAAACAATAATTTACAACCATTGGCTGAAAATAGACGATGAGTCAATGCGAACTGCCGATTATCGACACGGCTAGTGGCTGGTCAAGTTGACTAAAGCCTGTGTCTGGGGATTTCCTGAAGCGCTACGCCTGAGTTGGGATAGTATTTTGAGCAGTTTTTTCCCCCTTCCGTGGTCGTAATGGCCGTTATCATGTCGAGGTGGGTGGTTTTGCTGATAACAAAAATGACCCCCCCCCCCCCCGCCTGCTGCTTGCTGTTCCTCTCGGGGTGGGTTTTTTGCATCGTGGCACCATCTTGTTTCACAACCTGGGAAGGCTTCCATTTTGCCAAAATATTTCAACTTTGATTTATATCTCACAAACCATACAGACATAGAAAGTGTATGCAGGCTTATTGGATTCCGAGTTGGTAGAACAAAACATTTACATTTGAGGTAATATTCTGGAAGATGTGACCGATGGTGTTGGGTTTCTCTACAACTGGATTTTACTTTCCATCGCTTTGCTTATTCCAGAAATTAGTTTTTCAAGCTATTTTAACTGAATAGATAAACTGTAGCCCTGAATGTTTGACATTTTTGAAGTTGTTCATGTTAGCGCAAACAAACACCAGTTAAACAACGTATTTTGTCATACATTTTAATGCGAATCCTTTCTCCCTGCTGCAGAGCGCTACCAGCACCACTGGTTCCCGGACAAGCCGTGCAAAGGCTCCGGCTACCGCTGCATCCGCATCAACCACAAGATGGATCCCTTGCTGGGGCAGGCCGCCACCCGCATCGGACTCGACAAGGTGCAGCTCTTCCGACTGCTGCCGAGCGAGCTCACGCTCTGGATCGACCCCTTCGAGGTGTCGTACCGCATCGGAGAGGATGGCTCCATCTGCGTGCTCTACGAAGCGGAGCCGCACACCTTCCACCCAGCTGCCACCCCAATCCTCGAGGCCCCGCACGGCCTGGGACTCCTCGGCAGGAGTAGCCCACCGCGTGGATATGCCATGATGACTGTGTCCGGATAGTACTGTAGAGTTAACGGAGTCTCCAGAGAAAGCTTGGACTTTTAAAAAGGGTGGTGCGTTTTATTCTGGGGGTTTGGAAAGGGGAAATATGGGCTGCTTAACATAATTTCTCCTTTTTGGCTGCACTTAACTACATGCTAAAAGCATTGTTTGTGAGTGGTGTAAATCTGGGTAGTTGGCAAGATGTGAATTAATGTCTGGATAATGCTATGTAACTGCCAGTATTGAGCATTATGCGATTCATGCACTGTAATGAACTTGTGTATCTTAACTAAAGCAGCACAAACTACTTTAAACATATCAAAGGCAGTAATAGCCAACAATAGCAAGTGGTAATATGTAAAAATAAACTTAGTCCCTTTCCAGTGTGTGTGCCATATTCTGTGAATTTTAACTCAAACGTGGCTGGCCACAAGAAAATATATTTTTCTGGAAAAAAAACCCCTTAGGAGTTTTAAATTGTAAGCTGCCTTGGTCTTGAAGCAACTTTAGATATTTGCATTCAATGCTTTGCATTGTGGGTACCCCTAAAAACGCACCACCCTACCTCTATGGACTGCCACACAGTGCCAGTGTCTCGTTAAGATTTGGTTAGGTTTTTTGTGAAGCAAATTGTTATTTTGAAACGTAGTGATAACAATTTTAAATGGTAGAATTGTAATTAATGCTTAGTACAGTATTTGTTTTCTGGACTAGTTCTGTTTATTTTGTGTATGTAGCTTTATATTCTGGTTGAAAGTTGAACACATTTTCTGAAATTGTGTATATTTGTAAATTTCTGTACATTTGTTGCAGCAAGTTGTACAGATTTCTATTTTAAAATGAAATCGCCAAAGTTGGCTGTACTTTTTGTTTTGTAATAAAGTCGATGCCTTCTTAACGTATAAATATTGTCATCACTTTTTGCCAACCTGAGCTTGCAACTTCCCCTATTGTCTGGTTCTTTTGCAACGATTATGCACTTGTGCAATTACCACGGACGTGAGGTTGGGAGCATTCATCTCAAGTAAACATTGAAGTGGGTTTGCATACGTGCCATCCCACCAATGACTGAGCTCAACCCTTTTAAGTGACAATGGGTCGCCTTCATGTCCACCCCTGAAGTATTTGCAAAAAAAAATAGTTGATGCTAAGTTGTACATAGCTGTTATGCTCATGACTATATTAACTCCATACTCCATTGGAACCTCATTTGCCAGTAGAAAAATATGATGATTGGTTTTTTACCCTTTTTATCTGACAACAAAACTGACACCTTTTGGTGTCATCTGGTCCAATACCATGTGAGACTAGGCTCTAAGAAAAGCTGTCTTGGGTGTGGACCAATCAACTTCAAGGACAGCGCATACATTATCAGAGTTGTGTGTTTTGTTTGCATTTTGACCGCAGGTATTGTGGTCAATGCAAACATGACTCCTTGTAAAAAAAGGTGTCAGTTTTGTTGCCAGATAAGGGTAAAAATCCAATTATCAAACTCCATACTGTTGTAGGACCTGAAGAATCAAAATTCTCATGATGCTTATGGATAGTTTTTAACAAATCCGTGGCCTTGTATGCTTATGGATGGTTTTTGACTAGAAATCCTTGGCCAGAAACATTTCTCCAAGGGTTGTTGGTCCATTGTAGGTCGACTTGCATTGGACCTCGATCAGGAGACGCCCCTGTGTGTACAAGAGGGGGATTCAGTGTGTCCAAGGGCTGAAAAACATGTCGCCACATGCCCAACAGCCTGGCCCACGACCCACAATGTCAACAAAGGTCTGGCTGACATGGTAAACCAATCGGTGATGGTCGTGGAACACTCCCTTGCTGTTTGTAAGGTGAGCTCTTGTTGATTTCAGTTAAGTCCGGTTTTGGCGGATGTATTCTACACAAACCACAGCTTGGCTGAGTACATGGCTTGTTGCACGTAATGTAGTCGGCCCTTAAGATGTTTACCGTGTTATGGATGCTGCTTTTGACTGCGATTGGTAACTTACAATGTGGTTCCACTTTTGGAGTGGAAGCATGCGGGTGACATGGAGGAATTCACGTGTGGAGTTCGTCTGAGCACCAGTTAAATACCGCAACAATTAAGTGGCAATAAAAGTGATTCTTCATACGTTGAGGATTAAATCTTTAGATACCACCGTTACGTGGAGTGCCAAGGCCAAAGGTATAAATATGCTTGGATCGTGATTGGGTATGATGATTTAGGAGGTGGTGCATGGGGCCCAAGCAAGACCTACATGGCGAAAGAGCCCACACTGACACGTTGCACTAATACTAACACTCTGTGTCACATCTAGCACATGCATGTTGACCCAGACGCTCCGGGTGCATGTATATTTGGCCGCGCCAAGTGCGGCCCGGCAGCTCCCACAATCGTCCGTGCAGTGCAGCCAGATCCCCTTTCCCCAACCAAATATGGATGAGGAACTAGGTCACGTAGCCCAGGAGCGGGCTTGGTATCAACAACGAGACTGCGCGAGAGGCAACCAAAACAAGAGCCATTTTTTGTTATTTCAAGACCCGCGCACTGCAGTCCTTCAAGAGCCGCAGGTTGCCGACCCCTGGGCACGAGTAAGGCGACCCCTCCTCAAGTGGGACAGCCGGACAGCCATTCTGTGGCAGGACATCTTCATATCGAATGGCGGGGTACACCAACACGCGTCGCGTTATGGACCCAACGCCCCTTCTCTCGCGTGCCCTGCATCGGGGCTGCTGACGTCTTGATGTAAATCACCAGCAGCGCGTTCAACAGTTCTACCCATAATGCAATGTGCCAGCAACATTTTAAAGTTTTACATTTAATATAAATGAGTGTATTTAGTCAAACAATGTTGATTATTGCAGGGGTTGTTACTCAATAGCTACTGATAGGTAACTATTCATACGCTAATAAAAAACAAAAATTTTACATGTGGATTTACTTTCCAACACACTAGTGTGCTGTACAAGTAACAAAATGGCATGTTCTGTTTACGTGACAAATCCTTACTAATTGGTGAGCAGCTACAACATGGGACCTTTTTGCCCATATCAAAGTATAAAAACATAAGAATAGTTTTTTTTCACAAAAGGTTTCTATTTAGTGTTTGACATCTGAACACCTGTTTTATTGCCAGAATGAGTAAAACCCAATTATTATTTGTCATACTTATTAATGGGCTGTCAGGTGGTGGCGGGTTTAACGACACGTTTATATTAACGCGATCTAACCCAAAAAAACCTCATGGATAAAAAAAGTTTATCCCGTCATACATTTTAAATGTAATTTTCACCATGCCCCATGGTGTAAAATGCAGTCCCCAACTCTTATCCGCTCTGTCTCTGATCTCTCTAGGTATTATGAATAAATTAACCATTGCCAAAACGTCACCTATTATATACTTTTCCTTTCAAGGCAGCATGTAGTGTTGTTGACGAGTATGTTGAATTGTTTTGTTACGCAGGTGTGGCACGGATTAGTGCTGACGTTCAATGCGGGGTCACAGCTTCAGAGAACTGGCCTCGGGGCAAGCTTTGCCTTAAACATTGGGAATTACATTTGAATATTGGGCAAAGCGATGAGAACTAAACTATAGCTTAATTTTTTTTATTTCACCAGGTAAGGCCCACTGAGCAATGTAGCTCTTTTTCAGAAGCGACTTGGCTATCACAAATGATAGCTCAACGAAGTGGCTTATCACGTGGACATGTATAGAAGCCAAAAACGCGTGATGTCGATTCTAAACGTGGAGGGAAAAAACCGAGAGGACCCGAAGAAATATCCACGCGGCCACAGGGCAAACATGCAAACTCCAAATATACAGGCCTCGAGGGCCGGGATTGATCCCACGCACCCCTGTAAACCAAGCGAGGTAGTGAACATCTCGCCACCGTGGCGCAGCCACAGGGAAACAAGACAAATGAGGTAAACGGTGCAGCGTGGGCTGTGAGGGTGACAGCCAACACGGAGCAAGGGTCGCGTTGTGGACATGAGGAGGGCCTTGTCAGGGAACGGGCTTGGGGAAACGAATACAAATGGATCTCGCTGTTAAGTTATTTCGTGGTTTCTCCACCAATTATTGGTTCGCCAACTCAAGTCGTCGGATAACACGAATATTGCTCCAAAAGGCGAGACCCACCACTGTTGCTGCTGCGGTGCCGCTGGTCTGGAGGTGATGGGAGGACCTTGGTGACGTCACTGCAGCCTGGTGGGGGTTTCCTGCCTTCGGGAGACATGATCTGTCAAAAGGAGGCTTGAGCAGTCTACCACGTACATTCAGGTGTGGTCGATTCCGATGGTTTCTTCGTTCACGTCATGTTTGACCTGCACAAGCTCTGCCTGACCAAAGGCAGAGACAATTGTGGATCACATTCCTCCCCCGAGATATCAATGTTGACATGGGCCACCCCAAGAAACACGAGGCCCTCCGAGACACTTGTGCCAGATCAAAGAAGCACATTTTCAATCCCAGCCATCTGCAACAAAAGGCATTCTGGGCAGAACAAAAAAGGACGTGGGCCTCTGCCTGCTGCCCGCAGGTTGATGGCACGGGAGCGAGGTTCCACACGCGACTGTCTCGCTTTCGCATGGTTGGCATCATCCCTGAAATATGCATCATGGGGACTCGTCGCACATTGAACAAGCCACACGCGTAGTGTCACTGGCCGTGCACCCCAACACGACGCGTCTCTCAGTGCAGTTGCGTGGCGCTCCACTAGAGGGCAGCAACATATTGCACGTTCATGTTGGACCGAATGTCCCCCCCCCCCGTTCCTTTCATCTCTGGTATTATGGCTCCGCCAACTGGAGACTGAAAACCTGACTGGGCATTTTCGAGAACGCAATTGTCTGATAACCTCGCCTCCTCGTGGCCACACTCTGTATAACCGTGATTTGATACTGTATGTTGAACTTTTTTCGTACCGTACGTAGCCAACCATGCTAATCGGAGGTGCGGGGGAAGGACAACAAACTAAACACAGAAAGCAGTTTTTAAGAAATTAGTCTTCAGTCTTGATTCAGTCTTGATTTTCAATCGTGATTTACGACAGACAGCATTCACACATTTCCAATTTTGAATTAATCCGGTACCATGATATTGACATGGGATTAAGGGCCTGTGTGGAATCAGCATACGTTCTGAACGACACCATACGAGCCATTGTGCAATACATACGTAGATTGCATCTCACTAAATTACGTGGATATTTGTTTTTATTTCGTTAAATATTTGAGGCCCTTGACCTCCCACAGTCAAAGTGATTTCTTGCTCAAATGAGCATTGAGGCAATGCTCATCTCTCCCGTTTACAGCCATGAGTCAGCTATGGAAACTCCTCATTTCTACGATGTGAGCGAGTCTTTCTAGAGGACAACCACTACTGACTTCCCACAAAATGGTAATACATTGTATCGACCCTGACGAGATGATGGGCTGGAGTCAACTCCCAACCAAAATGTGAACTCCAAACCTTCCGATCGCGGGCTGCTTGCTCTACTCGTTGAGCCACCTGGCATGAATGAGCTCCCATTGCCTCTCCCAAATGAGAACTCTTTCAGAGATGAGGGAATGGGCTACAGGTGGTACCGTGACAGTCGTGAGAGCAATGCAGTTATTCGGCATTCCTGAAATTGTGCTCAACAAATTAATTTAAGCTTTGCCTCTCGGGGTTTTTTCAAAGTTGTCCAGTGCCATTTCACCAGACCTCTCTCTCTCTTCATCAATGCATTTTCTGACATTCTATTGCAAGGTTGACACCAATGCTCCAAGGTCCACTCGTGCAGGTCAAATTTTTTGGGTTTTCGCTTGAGGAATTGCCTCTCATCGTCTCGTTTCTCACGCTTTTATAACCCTGCTGAGTTTAAATAACGCGTCAAATCTCATCTATTGCAACTGTGACAGTGCTGTCC